TGCTTGTGTTGTATTTAAAAACAGGGGAAAGAGTAGAGACTTGTTCATTAAAGATGCAGTATCCCTGGTTCACAAAAATGCATCTGGCAGGTTCAAAATCGAATGTCAACCAAAGGTCCTTGCAGAGTGTGAGCTTCAGTTCATGTATTGGTTAGTCACCAGCACAGCTGGGCTTTTTTGAATTCTGAAATACTAATATCTCCAGTTTACTAATGTGCTTCATATAAATCAGCAGACAATTAAATGACTTTTCCTTTTTTTTTTTTTTCTTTTTTAAGTAAAGAGACAAAGCTATTTTTTGGACATGGTGTGTATGCACATATAAATATTATATACACACATGCACACATACAAGATGGAAAGGAGTTAGTGCTGTGAGGACAAGGTTAGCTTTCAGAGCTGATGATGAAAACCAACAGATATAGATTATTATACATTAGAGGGATGACTTTTCTAACAAGGGCAGAAATCAGGAGTAATTCCTTTAAGTCAAAGGGTTATACCACCTTCAAACTGGTGTAAGTGAAAATGTAGGGGGCTCTACAACTTTTGGTGGCCTTGTTTTGTGACAAAGTGTATCCTTCAGATCTGAGTAATAAACTTTCCCTCATGATGGAGTGCTTGAGAGAAAATGCAGAGGGATTCTAAGAACAGCCCTTTACCTGAAGTAATTTGTATTTGCAGACAGTGAAAACCCTGGTCATATCCCCAAATTTTCTTTCAGTGTATTAACATCTTGATGCAGGAATTAATTTGTAACTCTTTAGACAATCCCCTAAAGAAACATCCTATGAAAATCCACCTAAATATGACCTTGTACCATTTTACAGAGCACAGCCTCCAAATAGCTGGTAAAGACACCCAGATGTTTGGCCTATGTATTTTAGTCAGATGGTTGATTTTTCCCCTTGGTAGGTTTGTAATGCTCAAGAAAACATTTTGCCCATCTATCTGCATTTGAGTAGAACACAGACTGACTAATAGATAAATAATCCATGTGAAAGTAAATAGCCTTAAAGTAAACTGCCTTCACATTCCATTGATCAGCTCAGTCAGCAAACTTTTATATATTGTCACTAATGTTCTAAATATTTTGAAGAGAAACATGCCAGAAGTACAGAGTATTTCCATTTCTGTCTCACATAAGGTCATTTTGAACTCCTCCTTGAATTGATATTGATCCTTCAGCTTGCAGGAATATTCCTCCAATTTATTTTATTTTTGTTGCTATAGGAATTGCTACTGAAGGTAAAAAGAGGAAGAAAAGGAGCTGATGCAGAATGGAACCCACATGCAAAATCATGACGTAAAGCATCTGCAGTAATAGCCTGACACAGCAGATGCTTTTTAACCATTTCAGGTTTCTTAAAATTCAGGGTTGTGCCAGTGGCAGGAAGCCCCAGCCAACCAACCAGACATTTCTGTGGCAGCAGCCTCCAGCTTTGTCCAATTGTAAAGGACAACAAACAGTTTTCTACCATGGAAATGTCTAAGACCAGCAAATATTTCATCCTGAAAACACCATTAAATCATATTTTGTCTCTCTTCTCAAAACCAATCCTACCCTTTGGAACCTGCTCAAGTTCAGGATTGTGCTTCAGCCTTCATGGACGCTCTTTGATTAGAAGGCTGCTGAGAAGGGCGAAGGACCAGCAGCCTGACAAAACCTGCTCACTAGGGACAAAACAGGGGCTGAATGTGGGGGAGAAGAAGGAAAGCAATAAGAAGGACAAGATGTGGCAGGGGATTTAGCCAGCTCAGGCCTGAATTCCATCAAAGGACTGGCCAGAAATCAAGCCTGAAGAAAGGTTGAGGTGCCTCTTGTTAGCAGTTCCTGGCCAAGCTCTCACCAAATTCAACAGGCACCCTCCCAAAACTATACCAAAGACAGCTGCTGATAAGGAAAGATTTGGGTAACAATCTGGCTCTGTTTTCCTCCCCTTACAGCAGCACTTCTGCTGCCCAAAGCTGAATCAAGACCTGGAGAACATGAGCATGTGTATGTGGAACCTGCATCTTTTACACCATTTCAGTTTTTGCCTGCTTCTCACTTTGGCTAACATTTGAAAAATCCATTTCCCAGAGTGACTTTTCAAAGAGAATGACTTAAAGCTGGAGGCCAAAGGGACTGTCTATAATTTTGTTTGCTTTTGGTTTTGCTACAGGATAAAAAGAGCAGGAAAAAAACCACTCAGTGCGTAGTTTTCATTTTACAAGCTGCAAAAAAAAATCTGTTAGGAGTACAGTTGGGAGAAAGAGTTTATCAAAACTTGTATGAGCCTTTTACATGAACACAGCCCAATAGCAGATACGACAGGCAATGTCTAAGACAGAAATTGGGTCAGTGATCTGCAACAGTGTACTTGCCAGTGTGATCAGTGTGAACCTACAGCTAATGGGGACATCAGCATCTCCCGAATGTGAGGATGGTGGAATGACCGGGGTGAAGAAGCAGCCTGTGGAGGTTTTGGGAAGCAGAAAGACTGGGTCATAACAAGGATCACAGACTGCAATTGCTGTTGAAAAGAAAAAAAAAAAAAAAAAAAAAAGCAAGTGATGTACTTAAGTCTTACTTTCTATATCCTTAATGAAAGGCACTGTTTTTAAAATGGTACTTTCATGCTTAAAACATAAAGTTTTAGATAGACAAAATGTTTGCCAGGAATCCATCTTAAATTAGATTTTGGTTTATTTGCTCTGGTTTTAGCATGTTCTATCTAAATATATATATATATATCTTAAAAGAAAAATAAAGAAAAGTAATAATCAAGAGTCATAAATTTCCAGCAATATCACAAAATCCCTCATTAGCTTTCTGAACGCTAAACGTCTCCATTGATTTAACAAAATGGACAAGGTCTGTACAATTTTTGAGAAGACAAACATGACCTAGTAACAGATTGGTATCTCTCTTCCTGGGGCTTTTCAGTGCATTTATTTAATGGTCTTGACGTACATTACTTAAGAGAAACATTAAATGCCAGTGCTTTGCAACAGTTTTGTTACTGTTTCCTTAAAGTAAACAAACAAAAAATACATTCAAAAAAGCAAGGCTGTTTTGTTCATGTGATGGCAGAGGCTTTGGGCAGCTGCAACACGCACTGCTCTTGCTCAGAGATATTACCCAACATCAGTCAGCTGTCACCAAAAGAGTTGCATGGAAAGCATTAAAGGATAAAAAGAAAGGGGGGCTGGGGTGGGGGAGAACTGAGCAAAATGCCACACATGCCAGCTAGTCTTTCCAGAAGGAAGACACCAGAATATGTATATTTGAGGGAGGAAAAAGGAAGGGGGAAAGAGCACTAATACAGAGAAAAACTTGACTTCAGGGGAAAAAACAGCAGCTCTCTGAAACTTGTTTAGCAGGTTTGCATTCCTAATGTAATCTGACTTGTGTTGGTGGTGGTTTTTGCCCTATTCCTTACTTTGCTTTCCAAGAGAAACGTAACAAAACTGAGGTAGAAATAATGGTGGGCACACTCCAGCCTGAAAGATTTCTAATGGATGCTAAATGAAGATTGCATTAAGGACAATGAAGCCATACGTACACAACAAAAATTCAACTTTACAGTTTGGGAAGTTTGAGGGTTCAGTTTTGCTTTGTTATTTGTACTGTTTGTTTGGTCACAGTCCACTGCACTGCTATAAACAGTTCTGCAACCCATAGCTCTGCCAGCAACCTACACTGATTCCACTCCCTACAGCTTCACCAAAATAGCCTCAAAACTACGACTAGAGCCATGCAACAAAGGCCAGCCGTCACAGCTTAAGGTAATTTGCCTCTCGGACTCCTACCAAATCTTACGTTTGACTGTTTCAGATGCTAACGTAAACCGATTAAGTGGCTCTTTCATTCATCTATGCACCTGCTAAAGACTGTATCACCTTATTATCAAGGAGCAATATGCTGAAAACTCTTACAGTTTACCAACAAGAAAAATCATTCTGCTCTGGTTTGATGTGAGAAATTGGCAAAAGAACCATTCCTGAACACTGGGAAATGCTTCTGTTTCTATTTTTACAAACTGTAAAGCTTCAGTCATATCACGCTTTAGTTTTTTCCTGGATACATTCAAAGTAATTTTCCTTGCCATATTCCAATTGTTGAGGTAAACATACATATTTAATATAAAGTAACATTGAAGCCTAGCCTATAACTCTCAGCAGTACATAGTGCTTTCAACACATTCCTTTGAGGTACTGTACAAATCACAATCACTTTCCTGAGTTTTTGCAGACAGAACATTAAAAGAAATGAACTGCAGAAATTAAGGTCCAGATTATCATTACCCTGTTTTACCTGTTCTTAGTTTAACACCACAGAACAGACAGGATTGAGGAATACTGTTGCTCTTAGAATAGCAAAAATCTGGCTCTCTGTCGCAACACAACCGTTCATCTCTTTAGTCCAATAATGTTTGAAGTTAAAGCTCTTTATATTAGCACATGCCACCAATGTAATTGTGAGGCAAACAAAAAATAAAGCACCACTTCAGGCACTTGACAGCAACTAAATCTCAAGAACAGCAGAATGGAATCAACACACAGGGTTCATGTCCTTCTGAAATCAACCCACTTGCACCTTGCTCCTTGGTGAGTATTGTCTAGCTTGAACAGAACTGAGCATCAACATGCGCTTTCTGTCATGTGTGGCTTTTTCAGATCAGCAGCTCTTGTTTGATGCACTTTTCCTTCAAGTATACCCTGGCTCTTTAGAGGCAAGGTAAATCGTAGTCTCCCCAGTACCCTTTGCAATTTTAACACTACTGAAAAGGGTTCTCTACCCCTATGTAGCAGATTCTGTGTGTGCCAACATTCATTACATTTTTTTAAGTAGCATCACTGACTGCAACCAAACATTTTGTTCCATTCAACGTATGTATCAAGCTCTTTTTGAGATATGCTAGGCTGTATCTTGCAGAAAGCAGTTTCAAAGTCTTGATATGTAACTGGCCTCAACTGGCTGGGCATAATGGCTGAAAGGTCTGTGGCTGGCATGGCATGGAGTGGGCCCACCACGGCTTCCTGACACAAGTGAGCCACATCTAGTCCAGAAAAGCCTTCTGTGCGCTGGACAAGCAGTGCAACCTCCTTGTCATTGAGACAGTAATTGTGCTGTGAGAGCAGTTGTACTATTATCTGGTGTCTCGCTGTGCTGTCAGGAAGTGGGATTAAAAGTCGTTTCATGAAGTACCTTCGAAGAGATTCATCAATTTCTTCTGGTTTACTCGTGGCGCAAATTACTACTATTTGGTCCTCAGCAGAAGTCAGTACAGTGTCCAGCTGCATAAGGAACTCGGTTCTCATCCGACTTACTGGACTATGTTCTTCACTCACTTGAGAGGAAAGGAGCATGTCAATGTCACTAACAAAAATCACTGAGGGTTGGCGACACCTTGCCACGAGGAAGGAGGCATGGACAATTTTTTCTCCTTCCCCTAACCACTTTGTGACAAGGCCAGAGCCAGTGATTTTGAAAAACGTGGCCCCCAGCTGACTAGCTATACATCTGCCCATTAATGTTTTGCCTGTTCCCCGAGGTCCAAATAAAAGGATGCTCCGAGGTAGAGCAGTCAGTCCATTGAATGCATCTGACCTCAATACTGGCCATAAAACCTCCTCCTTAATGACGGCCTTTACTAGATCTAGGCCAGCAATGTCGCTCCAGTCCACGGGAGGTCCTTGGTTGATAATCTCATTGGTAACAAGGTCAATGAGGTGTGTGTCAGTATTCTTCAGTTGCTCGTCCACAGAGTGGTTGGATGAGGTAGCTGCACGAAGTCCCGGGCCTTGCATTGGGTGAGGGAGGAGCTGCCTGTGCTCGTCACCGTGCTCATTCATTACTGGGGAGCTATACTTCCCAAACGAGTCACTCGATCTCGAACCCAGTGAGTTTTTAGCAGTACTATAGGATGGGGGTGTTAGAGCCCTACTGGACTGGCTACTGAATTTCCTTTGCTGTTCAGAGGACATTAGCTGCTTTGTTGGCTTAAATGCTAAGGATGATGTTTCAGCACTTCTGTCAAAACCATTCCCTCTGTTTGCATTTGAAATGCTGTTGTCTGGCATTCGATACATTGGACTCTGTGTAGATCTCTGTTGGCCATAGCTGTAATTTCCATAACTGGAGTCCATTTCTCCTTGCCCTGCCATGTAGAAAGCTTTCCTTTTGAGAGAGCTGGCTGAACTGTTTGTCAGGGCAGACGGCGCGATTGGCGTCAGACCGTGGCCCTGGTAGGAGTAGCTGGGGACAGTGGTTGGGGGCAGAGGGGTTGGAGCAGGGATTCCTGAAGGCAGGTAAGCTGAGGGTGGTGGGGCACCCCCAGGGCTGTACCCAGGGCCAACAGCAGTTTGAGGAGGATAACTGGCAGAAGGGTAGCTGTAACTGGAGAGATTGGAGGTCCCGTTGTAGCCAGGGACGAGGGCTGGTGGCGGCGGTGGTGGGGGCTGCAAAAGTCCCGAGCTGTGCAAGGGGGATGGATGAGGGGATGGAAGTGCAGGTGCTGGCTGGCCGCTGTAACTGGTATGCAAATATGAGCCGTTGTATCCTGTGGCATATTCCTGAGATGGGAGCCCTGAATGAAGACTGGGAACGGTGTGACTTCCACAGGTGCTGCTGGAGTAACTGGGTTCAGCCAGGTTACTGGCCACCCCAGGAGAGCTCCCGATGCTGGCTGAGACATCTGCGGGAGGGAGGGCTGCACTTACCCCAGCTTTGCTGGCGGTGATGACATCTGGGACACAGTTCATGGGATACACGCTCTCCGAGTTCAAGGATGGCTGCCAAGGCTCACTTTCATTCTTCCGACCATTCACCAGCCCTGAGGGAGCTTCAGAGTAATTGCTGAGAATGGGTCGCTCAGCCGGGCCTTCCAAAATCCCGGAATATTTTTCTGCATACTTTTTCAGAAGGTTGGAGGCGGTCAGAGCCGAGATGTCGTCGTTGGCCCAGGCGTACTGGTACGTGCGCTGCAGGTGCCCCCGGTAGGCTTCCACCTTGTGGGCTGGGGACCGGGTGGTTGAAGTGATATCGAAGTGCTGTTCTGGCCACTGGGCATGCTCCGGCGTCCACTGCATCTTCAAGCCTAGGGCAGTAGGAAACAACAGTTAACAGTGACCTCAGCTTTTCCCTTATGTTTTCAAATGAGTCCTCATTTAAAATTTCTCATACAGCCTGTGAGCTTCTTCAGCTCTCCGAAACACTGTAACTAACACCAAAAGTCCTTAAGGAAAGAAAAGATAATGCCCTTAAGAAGTGGTATGGTTGGTTTGTTACAGGCACATACACGCATAGACAAATTTTTTGCCAATTCGGTAGGGGGTCAATTTTTTGTTTAAAAAATATAGGTAATGCTATATAATTAAACAAAACTCAGTATATTTTAATTACTCAGAGTGGAGATTTAGTGTAAACATACAAGGCATCCAACTGCTCTGTCCTCTTTCATCCCCGTTTCAGTTTTATATTTTAACCAATATAAAAATATGAGACACAGCTGACAGATCACATCTAGGATACCTCTCTTATTTGGTACTGAACACCTAGTTAGCAGAGTATAATGCACCCTGCGCAGAACAATATGACACAGACATAGCAGGTCATTCCATAATCCAACTCTCATCTAAAGTGGTCCACGACAGTTTCAAATCTGCTTCGTGGAGTGCAGCAAAGCAATCTCCCAGGCAGCGCTCTGTCGCTTTCATCACACAAAGCCTACAACTCGGTATGAATTACAACTGGCTCCTTTCTGCCTCTCAGTTCTGTTGTTGAGGGTCTGGAAAAAAAAAAAAAAAACAAGCATGACTTGTCTGTCGGTCTCCTTGCTTGCTTTCTCTTCCCCCCTCTGCTTCACAGCCTCCAGGCTACAAAGAAAGAGGGTTAAAGAAAAAAATAAGGGGAAAAAAAAGATGAAGAAAAAGAAATGAAGCCAAGTGCCTAAAAGTTCTGTGGCTTCCACAGCTAGCTATAAAAAAAACCCGAAACAAACAATACAAAGCCAAAATCAAACCTATCATTAAAAAAAAAAAAGTAAACGTAACTTTGAAGCAATTAATCTTTTAATAATGCAATGTGAATTATCCCTCCTCTTTGTAACCCACTGCAATAGGTAAGAACAATTTACAAGCATTACAATAACCCCCTCCAACTTGTACCTATGCATGGTACACACATAGCTGGGTTTTGTACAGCTGTATCAAATAAACCTCCTTAATCTCTCTCGTATTACCAAAAGAGATTTTTGCAAACAGTCTTATGCCCTCTGGCACAGATTCCCTGATAAGGAGGAGGCCTAGCCGAAATGAAGCATCTGTGGCACTAGCTCCCCTCTGAATTACTGCAGTCTATTTTGACAGTTTCTACCCCCTCCTGTTTCTCTCCCCAACCCCTTTAGCTCTTCATTGCCTGACTCTGGCATCTGACATGGCCAGCTTAGCCTCGCTGAGCTAAACCTAACACAGCACACAGTTTGGTAACAGAATGGCATGTTTATTCCCTTCTGACTCCCTCTTCCTTGTTTGCAAAACCACTGCACTAGACACTGGAAGTTAATTAGCAGGATGATGCTGTGCTAATTGTGTTAATTTACAAGGTTTTAGTCAAAGAGAATCATGCCAGGGCTGGCACTGCTGTCATGCTTCCGACTTAATGATTAAGAAATACTGAAAACAAGGTGGGAAGGATTGCAGTAATTACACAATAAATGAATAAAGCAACAGATTCATTTGCAATTATATTTTATTGTGGTTGCACTCATTTGCATTTGGATTCTTTTTTTTTTTTCTTTTTTGGATTAATGTATTTGCAAATCACCAAATCATTTAAATTTAGGCTGAAAATGGCAAAGAACCTTTAATTGAGCCTTTTATTTTATTAGCACAACTAGTCCAACTAGTAAATCTCACCCCCCCTGAACATGCCATTGATTACTTGTAGATTTTTTTTATTCCTGAGCATTCTCTTTCTCTCTCATTTTTCAACCACTTTGACAACTTGATAAAAATGTCTGTTAACAGTTATACAGTTATCCTAGAAAAGTTAATTCAGAGAAGTGCTTTTGACAAATGAAGCTTTGAGACTGAGGTTTTGTCAAATTTATTTCTATCCTTTAGCATTAATTTAATATTTTTTGCTAATTGTTACTGATGTTTCAACCGTTACCTTTCAGAGCGAGTAAGTATATAATGAAATTGGGAGAAATTATAGAAATAATGTATTTAAATAACTGCATTTAAAAAATGCGATTTTAATGATAAACTATCAGAAGCTTCCAGAAACCACACTTTGTTAAATTCTGCTGGAAATCTGAAGAACAAATCACCAAAAGCCAATTGCCAGTAATCAGTATCTGAAATTATTCTAATGTCATGAGAAATACTACAAGCTTTTTTTAAAAGCCAAAATTATTAATGCTCCTATAACATAGAACTACATGACAGTGGCAAGTTCACTGCCCCTTTAAAAAAAAAAAAGTCAAACAAAACCAACAAACAAGCAAACCCTATCTGTGTTCTGCAATGTTTTGCTTATAAGGTTACCAAAACACTGAAAGCTTCTGTTACAGAGATGCAGAAAAACTTGAGTAGGCTGATGTTTCACTAGGAACTAATGAACAGATGCCATGGGAAAGACTCTGCAAAGAAAGCACTAAAGCAGCAGTGAAAATTTGGAAAAAGAAGGCAAAATAGACATGGATGGAGCAAAGAACCTGATAGGGCTGTATTTGTACTGTAGTTAATGAATATGCTTTTGGCACATTGTTTTTAACTGCTTCTAAAAGAAAACCTATTCAATTTAAAGAGATAATGCACTGGGTTGGAGCTCAACAACATCACTCACTACCTACTCTGTAAGCTTTTCAAAATACCTTTCACAAATACTTAAAAAAATTTATCAGTTGGTCTTTTTTATTTAGAATGGATCATGCGCTGTTAAAATAAAATAATTAAATTTATAGCCACAGTGGGGAGATGTATTTTGATTGTGCAAAAATTCAATTCTCTGAATTTTATTTGTCTAGATTAATTTCTTTTTCTTATTATGAGGCTGCAAAAGAATGTCAGAAAATCTAAATTATCCATTATAAGAGGAGGGAAAAATCACATCATCGGCATTCTTTATTTAGAATAATTGCTAGATAGACCAGTAGTTTCACACTGTCATGCTATCTTTGGATATGCTCACTGAACAATAATTGAAAGTTTATTTATTGATGCATATTAAATACCAGTGCATTTAACAAAGGCTGTAAAGGCAGGATTAGGCTTTGATTAGATAAGCTTAAGAGAACAGGACTGTTCTCATCCCGTGAAACATGAGCATTTATTCCAGCACATCGCAATCATTAGTGTTATTTGGAAGCATAGGTTAATAGATAACCATAAGCATATTTTTTGCATTAGTAAGCAGTGAAGAAATCTGAATTTACATGAGGTCTGCTAGAATGGTCTGGACTGGGGGGCACAAAGAGCCATTTCATCAATTTGATATTAATTGAAAAAGCAGAAAAACTTTCACTAGGTTTGGCTCTATTTGATAATAGTTCACAAATTGTTTGACAAAAGTCAAATGTGTGATTTAGGAGAAAAAAAGAAGCAGCAGCAGCTGTTGTAATTTTTAATTATGCAAACATTCCTCTTCCCTCTGCCCACCCTCAGCCCCAAATTGCTTAATGTTTGTTTGTAGCTACTTCCTCTCCATATTTCAAATTATATTTTATTAATTGCTTTTTGTTTAAGCTGATACATATTTCTGCATTTCTTTTGTTAGGAATCCAAATGCTGATATAAACATCTAAAATCAGGTAAATCAGGGCACATTTAGAGGTTGCATTTTTTATTTAGTGTAATTTAAACTCTGATATAAACCACAGTCTTGCAGATAGTGTATTTGGTGAATAACTTTCTGAAAATCCAGAAGCAATGCAAGGCTGAATGTATTACATTAAAAAAAAAAAAAAAAAACTTTGCTAACTTAGGAATCCTCTGAACTATCGACATTTTTGAACTGTGTAAAGTGTGCTGGTATGGGCTGTAAAAGGCAAAAGGCAAGGACTCTGTTCTTTAAGTACAGGTATGTACTTACCAGAGAATTGCTTTTAAGATAAATTTAATACATTATATAGATAGGCAGTGTAGGCTATTTTAGCAGTATCTATTTTTCCTTGTCCTAACAGCCTTGCTATACATCCCTGCTCCTTAATTCCTACAGCTGGATCTATCCAGATTACAATTAAAGTAATTTTAGTCAACAATTTCATTATGGAATTACTTCAAACTAAGTGTTCAACCATATTTCCCCTTCTAATATTGTTCACTTAGCCTGAAAATGGAAAATCTAATACAAAATACTTCATCAGTTGCACATATAATAATTCCATATGGCCAAAAGCCACTTACATATTCAGTTATATGAATTCAAATTAAAAATAAACAAAGAAAAAACCAAACAAAAAGGAAAAAAATGCCAGAGTTATAAAAAACTAACATTGCAATCTGAACACAAAAAGGAACAAGCAACATCCTACACATCCTCACTGTCCAACAGGGCCTGATCCTGCTGGGAGCTCAGATGACTTTGTGCATAAAAAGAACCCTCCAGTGCTGGTGCCCTCAATACCAGGTCAAAACTTCTCATCCTCATACAGGATCATATCTGTCAAAAAAGATAAATAACTAGCCTTTGCTTTCAATTTAAATACAAGAGTTACTGTTGAAAACAAGCATAGTCCATGACTAGGACCACACCGGGTAATAGCACCACAAAGGATTTACAGTGTCCCAACTCACCAACTTGACTAGCAACAATGTGCTTTAGAGAAAGGATGTGTTACTGGGATGTTAGCAAACCTCTCATCTATTCACACTTCTAATAAAATAATCAAACTAAAATTAAATCATATGCAACTGTGGATTTCTGAAGATACTGGAAGAGATTGCACTGCACTTCTACAGATGTTGGCAAAAAACCCAAATGTCCCAGAGCTGCTGTGCACAAGACACTAGAAGCAGGGCAGTACACCAACCTTCCCAACCAGCTACCAAAGTTTCAGTTTGGATCAGGGGCCTTCAACTGTTCCTTCAACAT